CGTGGTTAGGTCTGTATGTTGTGCTATGGTAATATGGTCGTAGCTAGGTCTCTATGTTGTGCTGTACTAATGTTGTCATTGTTAGGTCTGTATGTTGTGCTGCAGTGCTGTAGACGTGGTTATAGGTCTGTATGTTGTGCTGTGGTGGTGTGGACGTGGTTAGGTCTGTATGTTGTGCTGTGGTGGTGTGGACGTGGTTAGGTCTGTATGTTGTGCTGTGGTGGTGTGGACGTGGTTAGGTCTGTATGTTGTGTTGTGGTGGTGTGGACGTGGTTAGGTATGTATGTTGTGCTGTGGTAATGTGTTAGTTACGTGCTCTTCTCTCTGCGTCGTTGCAGTATGCTCTGCCTTGAGGATGAACTGAAGCACCTGGCAGTTGCCCCGAAGGCATTGGACTTGTCTTCCCCATCACCCGGTTCTGCACCGTCCTCCTCACGTCTCGACAAATGGTAGGCAACTGTCTCACCATCATTGCTTGTTTGCTGTTTGAGTAGAACCTGTTTTACAGATATATATACTGCTACTGCATTATGTAAGGAACCGATGTTTAGCTAACCAACCCGTCTGTATTCAATATTTAAATTTTAATTTTCCTTAATTTCCGCCTGTTTTGCTGCTGCAAACAGCAGGATGAATAGTATACAGGCTACACAACATGTCTGTTTAAATAAAGGAGCTGCTTCAACAGCAGTGCTTGTCCCATTCCCTATTTTAGAAAGGCTGCGTAGGTATAGTAATAAGCGGAAGTAAAAATAATTTGCTGCACATATCATAATGCTGATATATACGTAAGGTACAACATAAACAATTTAATTTATTTTACAGCCTATTACAAACATTTTTAATGTTCCCAGTCGCAATGAGTTTGACAGGTCACTTGGCATATGACGCAGATTGAAGAAACTGCTTGAGGGACGGCTTCTTGTCCCTGTTACCTATTACTGCAGATAGAAGAAAATAAAATCCCACACACCATGTCTCGTCACGTGATAGCTTTTGCAGACGCTCATGAATCTGATTGCAAAACGTCACATTCGTCTAGAATTTTCCCATGCATGATGACATTTGGCTGACTTAATTACTATTTAAGTTGATGCCTTAATGCCACAGACATAAATTGGCATATATGGTAACACTAATAAATATCTATTTTGGGCAGTGTGATGGCATGCATCTTCTCTGTGAATCTTGTTTATTTTCACATTGACCAAAAAGAAGTAGTTAAGGGGCTCCCACTGCACGATTCAAGCTTATTTCTTATTGTGGCTGTTGATAGC